CCCCAAAACCCCAAAACCCCATAGACTTTATTAGTTCTTGATTTGGAGTCTGCATTAAATTGAATATAATTATTAATAAAGAGTGGATTTAGCAAGAAAATGACAAGTTTGAATAGATCACCAAGGATCTCAGCTTCCTAAGACGTCAGATCATAAAGTTCTACCAACTATGGTCACTCTAACAATAATTATGCCATTAATAGAGAGAGCATTGACAGGAATTCTACTCAGGATGGGGACGAACTGCCCATTAATGAAATCAACCCGCAAAGGTTCACTGAAAGGGTAAGTGAAGACAGAGAAATTAAACTCAGACTATATTCTACTTTATTGATTTTACGCGAATCAATAATCAATTTATTCTTATATTAAAGTAACTTATAGTCAGAAAGATTGCAGAAAATAGTCAAAGTCATATTGGGTATTACAGTATTCGGTATTCTAGTGAGTGTTACATTATTTCCAAGCTTGATGCCATAAGAAAAAGTTGAATGCTTAGAGGATAACTTTCTTAAATGGACGTCGAGTGCTAATGAATTTTTCAAGGAGAATAATACTTTGAAGAGAGTCATCCTGATCATATTAGGATTGATGATGGATGGCCTACTTCTCACCTAGCTCTACATATTCTCTATTTACGGCAAAACATGGAGATTCCCAATAGCTGTCTCGTTTATCTATGGGCTCAGATTCTTAACAGCAGTAAGTATTATAAAAAAATCCTAACACTTTTATAGTCATTATTCCAAATGGCTTATCCAGTTGGATACATTTGGGAATTTCCTGGCATGTATTCCCTTTCCATTAGATATGGAAACCAAAATGATTTCTACTTCTGTGTGTACATGGCTCTGATAATGATTCATTTCTGTGAATTTCACGCTAATCAGTACTACAAGCTAGCCTCGCTGTCAGTTTTCGTCATGGCAACATTATTCCTTATGCTCATTTTCACCAGAGGACATTACTTTATAGACGTGTTTTGCGCTGTCATATTCGGCCATTATTTCTTTAATATGGCAGAGAGACTTTCATATCTCGTTGATAGCAAGCTTTTAGGCATTCCTTTCCACAAAAGATTCCCTAACTTCCCTAAAAACTGCTGGTACTGCAAATACCCAATTAATTAATGGATCAACATCAATGAATAATAATCTTAATCATAAAACTCAACAAGAGATTCAGGCAAAAAGAGCGTTAATACATCAAGCACTCAAGAAAAAGAATTCTCTTACGCTTAACTCAAAAATAAAAATGCTCATTTGGGAAGCAATTAACCTTGATTAGAATGGCCTAGTGAGGCAGAGAGGCCAAAATGCACATTGATTTTATAGTTGATATTTGTTTTTGTGATTAATATTTCTAATAAATTTAATAAATTAAATGGGTTGCATGCAAGCGAAAGCTAAAACACCTGATTAAGCAAATAAAAAAACTTCCTCAATGAATGAAACACCTTAACCAATACAAAACCAATCTTAGATCATTAAGATAAAGAAGTAACTTTAACAATAGTTGAAGAGTTCTTAGGCACCTCTATCAGATAAGTTGAAGGACTCTCTCCAAAAAGTGAATTAAAAAGGTCAATTTTAATGTAAATTTGTTGGAATGCATTTTATCCACAACTATCTTATGTTTGTGAGAGAAAAAGTCATTAGTGAGAAAAGTCAGCTTATTCTATTCGACTTAAGACCTAAAGCTATAATATAAGAAGTGAGAATTATGAAGACAGAGCACTTGGATCTAGCTGAATAGCTAAAAAATCAAGAAAGCTTACAAGCCTTCAAAAATAAAGTTCATTTCAGGCATGTTTTCATCATTGGATAGAATGAGTAGTTTGAAACAGAACAATTCAGTGAGTTGCTGTAAAAAATAGTAGAACTTGAGATGAAACCATTTTGCTTATTCATGCACAGGTTCAAGAAGGAGATTCTAGAATACGAATTCCCCTACCTTATGCTCTAGAATCAGGAAAAAAGGAAGTTAAATCTTTACCCCCAGATTGTTCTTAAATGTAAAGATATTGGGCTTGAAAAGTAAAAATAGAAGTTTCAATTATTGATGGGAAAGTCCCAGTTAATAAACGCAGTCTAACTAAATGAAATGCAAATCAGCAAAGCTTTAATTATTGACGATGATGAGCCAAGCTTAAATAAACATGTTTAAGAGAATTTGAAAGGGATTAGTATCGATAGAACTTCTTAGGAGATTCGTAATCTCATCAATTGCTCATAAAAGGAAACTCTAAGAGGGGAATCTTACAAAAAGCTTTATTTAGAACTAGCAAAAAAAGCCTCTAGCTATATTTAAAAAGCAGTATCTGGTGATTATAGAATAGCTATATTAGCGTAAGATTGTGATAACATTGGGGCCTCTTTAATTATATTTTACTTGATTGAGCATCATTCGATGACTTTTAGTTCTGCATTCACTATTGTAAAGGAAAGGCGCATTTCAGTTAAAATCATAGATTCGTAAGATTAATTTCTAAATTTACTCATTAAGGATCTAAGAAATTTTGAAAGAGTTCTCAGAGAGTAAAAGTCCTCAATCATAGTAATTTTAGCAAGAGAAACCTATACAGAAGAAGCCAACTAACGAGAAGACATTTTCTGAAAGAGTATCTTAGAAGATTTTTTTATAGTATAATTTAGATGGATGAATTGATAAAGTCATTGCATATTGAGACATTGAAGAAGCCTGAAAAATTAACAGATGCTCTGAGTCTTTTTACTACTTTAATTAGAAACATTAATGATAATCCTACCGATGAAAAATTTAGATAGTTCAAAAAAGTAAGAACAATCTTTTGACATAATAATGAATTTTCAGGATAACCCAAAAATAAAAGAGAAACTGACCAAATATAAATACGGTCAAGAGATAATAAAACACTTTGGTTTTCAAGAATTAAAGGATGAAGCTACTAATGAAGTCATATACAAGCTGAGCACATAGTTGAGCATCTCTTTTATTAAGGTAAGTAAAATTCATAGCTTATTATGTAATATAGGGAAGGAGGCTTGACTTTGAGAAATGTGTGAGTATATTTGTGAGTAGTTTAGATTAAAGAGATTAAAGAGATTAAAGAACTAATTAAATATGATGATTGAGATTAATAAGTATTAGAAATTGTTTGTATTATTATTTAATATATATTAAGCACTTTATAAGAGAATACAATGGACATCGACCTCTTAAACGTGGATCCAGTTCAGGAAGAGAAATCACACAAGCTGAAGAGACTTGTTCAATCACCAAACTCCTACTTCATGGACGTGAAATGCCCCCAGTGCTACAACATTACCACCATCTTCTCACACGCTTAAACCGCAGTTGCATGCAATGGGTAACATTCACACATTTGTCTAACTTCTTTTTAGATGTGCTTTCGTACTCTGCGCCCCTACTGGTGGAAAATGCAAGCTTAGTTTGGGAACTGCCTGGAGAAGAAAGGGCGACTGATAAGTCTCAGCCAATGAAACACAGCTTATATTGTTAAGCTTTCTTTAAAATCTAAGATACAACTCTATTTTTCTCGACCTCTTTATTATATATTAATATACTATTTGCTTTCTCTATTATACATTCCTTCATAAAGAATCATATCGCCTGCAAGGGGTTTTGGGGTTTTGGGGTTTTGGGGTTTTGGGG